TCAAAGTCTCCCTGGAGACACGGTTCGGTTGCTGCCCATCTTGAATTATCGGATGCCGCGGAGCCTTGCTCGCAAGAAAATCAGACTTCAAAATGCGTGGGCAACCCTAAACCCTAAACCCTAACGCGTAAACCGTAAAGCAGAAACCCTAAACCCAAAACCGGGCTAGGTTTGGGCAGGTCAGATTAACAGAGAGCCGTTCTTATCCGAGTATCGGGCGCCACACGAGGCAAGTTGTGCTCATCACGGGCCAAAGACTGACCCGCTGACTCCGCAGACGAGGGCGTCGCAGAGGAAATCTCGTCGGAATCTAGAAGCTCGTCATCGCGCGTGACGTCTTCCTCCCACAAGGCAGCTTGCCGAACATCCTCTTCTTGCCGTCTCTGAATCTCTGCGGATCGCCGAAGAAACAACTGCCAGCGGCCCTCCTGAACGACTGCGGCAGGCTCAAGCACGGGAGCACAGAAAGATTGCGCAGGCATATCTGCAGGATCGAGGTCCTGCGAAGCCTGCGCAAAAGGGAAAATCCAAGAGCCCAACTGTACAAATTTAATCCTCACGTAAATTAGTTTAGGGTTTAGTGTTTAGGGTTCATTTAGATCCTATTATATCCTATTGTTGCATCCCGACTAGTCTGGGGGGCGCAATAGAGCCAAAACCCAAGAAAAAAACATGCCGGAGAACATCTTCCGGATCGTCCGGATACAAAGGCTCTGCATCCACGCCCATGGAGACATCTCCATAGGCACCATCTGCGGACTCGACATCGGTGGCACTGTCCGGACCATGCTCCTGCACAAGCCATGTAGGGTGTCCGAAGGCTTAGGGTCCAGAAGAATATGACGTTTTTTCATTCCGCCCGCCTCATCCGTGGCCAGAGCATCCGTATCCAGCGGAGCGTAGAAGATGTCCAGGGCCGCTTGCTCCGGAGCTTCTGCAACCACAGGCTGCAACTCAAGAGGCCCTTGCGAGAGCTGTCCCGAGCGCAAGTAAGCCACAACGCAGGATAACTCGTCGACAGAGAAACCAGCTCGCATTCGGCCCTGCAGCACGTGCCAGGCTGCCACGACCGGCAAGGCAAAGTGGGAGAACAGCGAAAGGCTTTCCCAAGCATCCAGCAGGCGAAGGTAATTCCATATGAGGAGAACATAAGGAAGACGTCCAGAGCGGTGCTCGTGGAACATCGCGTGCCTAGTGACCACTCCTGCCAAGTCTGCAGATGGCAGCGACCATGCAACATGCGCGGCATCCAGTTCAGTCAAGGCCACGGCCCAGAAACACTCGAGGCCAGAGATGGCCGGAGCGGAAGCCACGC